GATGAATGGTCGTAGACTACGAGGCAGACCAAGAAGACGATGGAGAGATAATATCCAGACACACCTGCAAGCACTTGGTGCCACTAACCAGAAAGAGAAGGCCAACCAGAGAGATGGATGGAGGCGCATGATATCTGCAGCAATGAACCTCAAGGGCTCGGAATGCTGAAGAAGAAGAAGAAGAAGAATCAGTCAGCATGTCCTTTTACAGATCTTCGCTCTCTACACGGTGCACCTAAAAGGGTCTCTTTCTCTAGCCATTTCTCCGGCTCTGTGTGATTTCATCGAATGTGCATCTTCAGTGTCTTGCATCCACCTTCGCTGCGGTCGGCTTTTGTCTCCTTTTTCTGCACCCTCCATCGCTGTTCTCTTCAGACCAACATGGCGCTTGACATTTCCAAAATACCTCAGATTTCGCGAGAGGACACTGTTTACGAGCCAGTTCTCCTTGATATTCAGGTCATGCAGAATGTTAACGTTTTTGTTCTTCTTAGTCCACAGTATTTTAAGAATTTCTCTGTAGCATTTAAGATCAGAAGCTCTGATTTTCTTGTTCTTCAAAGACTGAGTAAGAGCGTATGAATAACATTCAGAAGTTGCCACAAGTGAGTTGCATGATCTCAAAATTTTTAATTTCAATTACTTGCAGGTTTTATGCAATAAGTTCCACCATAGAACAAGATATATATTAGGAAACCCGATAGTTGAAAGCTGGGATCCACGGTAATTGATAGAGGGGGGAAAAAAGTCCAGTTTCGTCCAGCTGTGAAACCTCGATCTTCGGAGCCACAAGCTAGCGTCTGACCGCTAGACCACGAGAGCTCTTATTGTTACATACACCACAAACTAGCGTCTGACCGCTAGACCACGGGAGCTCTTATTGTTACATACACCACAAGCTAGCGTCTGACCGCTAGACCACAGGAGCTCTTATTGTTACATACACCACAAGCTAGCGTCTGACCGCTAGACCACGGGAGCTCTTATTGTTACATACACCACAAACTAGCGTCTGACCGCTAGACCACGGAAGCTCTTATTGTTACATACATCACAAGCTATTGGGGGGGGGGGGGGGGGGCTTTTCCCTTCCATGATCGCTGTCTAAAAAGTTACCACCCAGTGACTCAAAGAGACACTTTCCATTGTTTTTGTTTTTTTTCAACAGGCACAAATCCCTTAAAACGCTATACAGCCATAGAACATATATTAGGGAACCCGACATTTAAAAGCTAACAAGTAGTCCAGTGTGGGCGGGTCTAACCTGCAGTCCTGTGTGGACAAGGACGTGCTCTGCCTATGATCATTCAAATAGTTATCTACTGTCCCAAACAAACACACATCTCGTACAACACTTTCCACATCTCATGTTGTGTTTCCAACATACTCCCAATGATGATATACCATATCCTGTCTCAGCTATCCTCCGCTGTCCCCTGATGTCAGAAAAGCTTTTATCCACATTAACTGTGTGTGATTGCTGGCACTGATAATTCACTGAACAGCATTTAGATACGTTGTTTCTATCGCCCCCGTGTTACGCACTCTGTCAGCACTTTTAGGAAATAAAAGGAAAAACATAAGGGGAGATAAATGCATCAAACAGGAACAATACGCCTTACTGTGTTCGGTTATAACATCATTTTCAATGCCTGTGTGCAAATGTTTGTGCGTGAGATTGTGTGTGTGCATGTGTGTGTAAGTATACATACATACTTATATGTCTGTCTGCATGTCTGTCTGTTCGTGTATTTTCAATGACCAGTCTGCCCAGCTAATATTGTCCGTACATGCATCGTATATGAATGTGTATACAAAGTATGTATGTATCAAAGCAGAGAGTGGCGTTACAAATATAAGGAAGACATGGGGTAGGCTGTCTGTAATAGCATAGGAGAAAACGACTTGGCATGAGTTGGTTGAAAGCTTGTGCTCCATTGGGAATAACTAGAAAGAGAAGAAGAAGAAGAAGAAGAAGAAGAAGAAAGAGTGAAGGTGGGGGAAAAGGACAAGGAGAATTATAATAGATAAAGAAGAACCACAACACCAACATTTATAAAGGCATTTTACCTTCTCTAAAAATAATATATGACATTTACAAAACAGTATCCTAGATAAGTCCCCAGCGTCGATCATGTCTGTTATTATGACGTTCTATTACCATTAGTCTGTAAATGGACCTGATGGCATTAAATGAACATTTCATATCTGACATTTTCTATAAGACCCGTCCTTAAACGTAGAGTAAACTAAGCTCTACACACCCCTTTCCTTAACTGAAAAACAAAAATGATAACAACTGACTCTGTATTATACAACCAACGATACATTCCTGAAGTCATCCCTGATAACTCAATTTTTTTTTTTTTTTTTTGGTAAGTTAATAACAGTCTATCTCTTAATTTCTCTTCTTCTTCTTCTTCTTCTTCTTCTTCTTCTTCTTCTTCTTCTTCTTCTTCTTCTTCTTCTTCTTCTTCTTCTTCATCTTCTTCTTCTTTTTCTTCTTCTTCTTCTTCTTCTTCTTCTTCTTCTTCTTCTTCTTCTTCTTCTTCTTCTTCTTCTTCTTCTTCTTCTTCTTCTTCTTCTTCTTCTTCTTCTTCTTCTTCTTCTTCTTCTTCTTCCTCTGCTTCTTTTTCTAGTTCATCAGCAGTAAACTCTGACTGAAAATTCTGGCTGTTCATCCACTTCTGGACTTTAGTCTTGTTCCAGAACTTGAGTTTTGTGTGCACATCCGTTTTACAGAGCTTACTTATTTGTATACAGACAGTTGGCTCCTTGCCTCATAGGTAGATGCATGCACCCTGGCTTAGGTGTCCCCTTCGTGCCAAAGAACTGCATGGTTGTGGGGTGCACAATCGTTAAAGAAGGCGGTCAGGTCGTAAAAGGGCGATACCTTGCTGATGGGCGTTACTTCCCTGGCCCCTTCCCCAGCACGAGGGCACCGCTGGGCTGACCGTTAATAAACCCTCACTACTTCCGGTCAAAATGGACGCTATGCACGGTTACTGTTGTAAGCCGTGGCAAAAGGTTTTGCTTCTGCCAAACCGTGGCCTGTGCATTTTTGCTCCATTTGTAGACTGAAAGGATAGTTTTGTCGCCCAGTTTTTGATTTAAGTTCATGGAGTGACACTGTGAGCTGCTGATTTCATTTGAAATGCTTTTCTACTGTGACCAACGTGGTGGTGTGAATTGTAGATTCCGAAAATGGCGCGATGCCTGTTGTCGCTATATTGGTTGTGCCATAAAGTGATTAAAAATGATCGCGTGTGCAACTGCTGATCTGTTGGTGACTTCTGCTACCATCCATGATGAACTGCATTTCTAATGTCGGACTGTTTGTGTTAGTATTTCGGATGGCTATCGCATTCTTTTAATGCGTGTGTATGTTAGTGCATATGCTGAGACAGCAGTCTGTCAATTTTTCCACAAGGGACTGTGATAAAAATTATGTGTGTTTTTAGTTGGCACATGAGCGGAGTAACTATGGCGTGACCCGTTTGCTATGAAGCTGACACTAAGATTACCAGATTCAGAAGACGCACTAATTATTCGACGATTTGCTTGTAGTGGTCTTCTCCTCGTTTCCTCACAATGGGACCTAGGAATCCACACGGAGAATGTATCATGGGATTAGCTGCAGGAGAGTGGGGTAAAATTTACTAACTTGCTAGTAAACTATGATTACAACACAAGTATTAAAGAAGATTAGAACAAAATCGTTACTAATTTACAATGAAAGAGGAAATTATAGTATGTTTCAGAAGTCCAGGACTTTAAAAATCTGTAACTCAAGAACTGTTCCAATGAAAGCTGTTGAATTTTGCTAATAATCATGTCCTTGTGAGAAAAAAAAATTTGTTTTAATCTAAACAAACATCTAGTTTTGATTCTGCGTTTTTTGGCAGTGTATGAAAAGAAAAAAAACCCACACACCGATTCAAAGCAAACAATCAGCATGCTCACAGTAACTTGAGTAAATTAAGTAAATGTGACTTTTCAAAACGTACAAAACCACACGTGTCATATGCGTTTTACTCTCAGGTGGTTATCTGCAGCATATGTCTCAGGTCAGTTAAGGAATTTTTATTAGGTGGGGAATAGGCTATCAAAATAATCACCATGCATGGCTGCACATTTGAACTGATTCCCAGACGGTCTCCACGTGTGTGCCAATCACTGCATATTCAGGTGCACATAAATTACTGGCCATGTAAAGATCTAAGATCTAATAAATTCGCCGCTTTAAGAAAATAGCATCATTTGCGCAGCTGTAAGTTATAGAATCATTAGGACATGTGAAATCTAAGACCACACGCAAAAACTCGTGTTGTTCCGTTCATGAGTTCTTGAGATAGTGTTTAAAGTTTGACAGCATGAATTTTAAAACGCACTATAAGTGGTTTAGTCATCTAGTAAGAATGTAGCCAAGCCAAAATGTACGTAAGACCTCCTACAGGAGAATATCTGGGCAGAACTCCAGAGGAGGGCCAAGGAAGAGATGGATAGAATGCATTGTTGACATCTGCAAACCCAGTTCTAGAAGATCAATACAAATACAGAAAACGTTGGGTTCAACTTGCTAACACTGGAATTGCAAATAAAGGGGGTGGGGGGGGGGGGAACCTTTGAATTGTATAAAGGGACTCCTTGGACGGCTTTAAGTGTACTGGGCGTATAGGGCTAGACCTAAATTTTATAGACCATCGGTGGATGATGTGAGCAGCATCACACCGGGCGCCATAACTTCCTAGGAGTTTACCTGTTTAAAACAAGGTTGATCTCAGAGTTAAGGACATTTCTTGAGAGAAAAAATCTGGCTCCACCTGGATCTGAACCCACGACTTTCCTATCCGTAGCTGCTACACCACGACGGCTCCAGTGAATTGTTTAATAGGACTTAAATCGTTTACATGGCTTTACTTGAAAGTGATAACATACACATGAACGCTGGTTTTTTGGAAGCAGGTTAACAATTTCTAACATCAAATTATCTATACTAATTATCTAAACTTCCTTTTCGTTTTCTTCCATTTTCTCATCATCTCAAAAATGGCGTCCATCGCTTCTGTCAAACCCTCGCCGGTAATGGCACACGATGGCAACACCTGACACAATTGAGTCGCACACAATTCATTCACTCCCATTGATTTAGCCACCTCATCAGGTGACATAGCATTGGGCAGATCTTGCTTATTGGCCATCACCAATGTGGGAATGTTGTTAGGATTTTGCATTTTTACCAGTTTCAGCAACTCCATGCGGGCTTCTTCCATGTCATCCCTGTTATTGCTGTCAACAACAAAGATAATCCCAGCTGCCGATCTCAGGTAGGACTTCCAAAGAGGTCTCATGTTGTCTTTTCCTCCGAGATCCCACATTGTGAAAGTAACGCCTTTATTCCTTCCTTCTGTTAGTTCAACCTTCTCACGGTTAAAGCCAACAGTGGGGATGGAATTTGTGTATTGTCCAAATTTCAGACGATACATTAGCGTTGTTTTCCCCGTGCCTTCAAGTCCCACTATAACGATCTGAACTGATGGTGCTACACCCATTACAATCCTGCGTCTTGTCAAAATAATAATCTTTTTATCAATAATATTAATAGTAATAGCAGAGACATTTAGGCAAATAATTAAGCCTTCGTTTCTGAATGTCTGGACATGAGCAGTATGCAAACACTTTGATCCTAGTACAACATGAAAACTTGCGAAGTAATAACGTTAGATATAGTAAAACAAATTACTTTTGCTTACAATTCGGTATATAGTTTGTAGACTTTGTTAATATATAACACGTATACCAGTTCTTTTTTTACCTTGACAAAACCTGTCAAATCATTGCTTTTCTGCAAAATGTTCTAGTTCCTAAACCAATATCCCTAACGCAGTAGTAGTAAAGATTTTTGTTTTTTAAATTTCAAATCCTAAAATAAAATGTTAGTCAAAATATCAGTTACAGGAAGTCGTAAACTAAACCGGTCGTGTTTTGGTTTTTGGTTTTCTAGTCAATAGTCACTTTCCGTAATCTGCCATTGCATGTGAAAACGTAAGAATCGTGATACAACAGTGCGGCATTGTTTGTGTTGTCAGAAAATTATTAAAATCCAGGCTTATAAATAACGTTGTAGCGAATCGGGGAAAAACAATTAACGCTTCTCTTTTGTTGTAACACCAATATTTTTACGAATGGTGTCATCAACTGTTAATACCTGTGTTTTTGATCTAAAACGAAAGAAGACTGTGTTCACATCGATTGATCTAACTTCCAAATAGAAGAGTACCCTGTTCAAGATTTTTTTTTTTTATTATTTAAGTATCGAATCAAAATGGTATCGTGTATAGAAATATCACAGAATAGCACGAAACAGTTCACAGATACATAATCCAAATGAATCCTCATCCAAATATTGTACCCACATGTACATCCTCGCTGCCTCAAGTATCCAACACTACGTAATATCCCATTATTTTCGAAGCACACCAAAGCCAGTCTTGCTATTTAAATGTAGACGCTGTACTGAAGTATTATAGCTCTTCGTGTTGGGTTTCTCGTGTTGATGTTGAAAACTTATAGCTTTCTGACGCTGGCTATGAATGTTTGCGACTTTCTACCGTTGATAACAAAAGGTTTGAACTATCTTATGACTGTTAAACAGTTTCATGTAATTCTCTGGACGTTGCAAGCCAAAACCAGCATATATTGAACTTCTGTGTGATTTTACTAGGCAATGCTACGTTCAATAATTCAATAGTTTGCCTTTCCTTTTTCAACAACGAGACGCTCATACTGAAATCTAAATCAAAGCTGTCCTGGCTGCTGCAAAATATCCTTCAAGCAATTCAGTCCTCTTAAATAGTAGTCTTGATAGTACCGAATACTACACAGAAGCAATGGTGTCTGTTTCTGAATGGTTGATATCGCATTTGTTAAATTTTATCTGTTTCGAATGCATTGCATTATTTAGTACCGTTGAAGTCAACGCTGTCTGTCCATGAAATATCTTTCCTTACTGTGTACATCACTTAAATAGGTGTAGCACATTGCCCAGACTCCACTCCGTGTCGCCAGAGTTTAGCTTTTCAAACCCCTAGTCTAACCACGGGGAATGAGATACAATTATCTGGTTTCTCTCGCCAGGAGATTCTGGAATCCGTTGCCAGTGGCTGTCCGTTTCCTGCGATGGCGCGCGATGTTATTTATAGTCTAACATTGAAGAAGGGGTGGCAAGTGTGATGATGGCTTGAATAACCTAGTTTGGGATAATTGGAATAGAGACGGAGCTTCAAGGGGTAAATTATTTTCAACGTTAACTGTATTGAATGTACACTATTTTTTACGATCAGCCTATTTTGTTTTTTAAAGTCGGGCCATGTAGATTAAACTACATATTCAGTTCACAATGCAGATATGTAGTTTTTAAACAAAAATTGGGAAATGTAATACCTTCGCACTAGACAGAGGAAGCAAATTTAGATTTCACATAGACAATCTTCTTCTTCACTGATTCCTTACGATTTGATAGTAGCTTTGCTTCATTCTTGTTATACATCTTCTAGACAAATGGTTCCTCCCGTAATAAGTCGTCATTCCTCTTAACAGAAAAGTGTGCTTTTAAATTATCGTATCACAAGTATATTTAGATATTATTGTCAAAATACTTCAGAAGAGTGTGTGCGAAACCATTCTCTTGGTTGTCCCATCCCAAAAATACAGACACAAAGGGAGGAAGATAGTCATTTATGTTCCTGCATGGCTGTACTGAAATGAAGGCGTCAATATATAACCCCACAAAGTGGCCATCACTTCCCTACTTTCTCTGTAGTTGGATCATGGTTGGCGGAGTACCATTTTAGAACACTAACAGACAGTGTTAAGACACATACTTTAAAGCTAATTGCATTATGCGGCTTGCATTACTAGGCTTTCATTGGTAAATCCCTAGTTCTCTTCTTTTCACGGTTTGCCAGAATCTAAAACTTTCTTCTTGATATTTCTCACTGATGTCAGTTTAATGCTTTGTGCTGGCGAAAGTGTTCTAACTGCAACGTGCGTCCGTCATTACTGATTGCTGACCGTTTCTGTTTTTCGTTTGGTATACTTTTTCTGTTGTAATAACTCAGGTTTGTAAAAGGCAGATCAAGTTAAAGCTAGATGGCAGACTTCCTATTTAGCTCGACCCCTTTCCGAGAAGTGACTGTTCGCTACCCCAAACCGTTGTTTAAAACACGAAACCCGTAGTTCCAGCGACGATCCTCGAGGATTTCTGAAACACCTGCACTCGTAAATCAAACAACGTAGTTCGAATCTAAACACACCACTTTCGCAGATTAGGGCATACAGCTCAATTAGTATGCCATGTTACTTTATGTTTAATTTCCTTTCCCCGTTTTGACAGCCACACACAGTCATTTAATGAATAATTTCACCGCATATGTAATGATACAGCTACAGGAAGGCTCTGATCTTTATACCTCCAGGTCAGTATAACAATTAAA